ACTTGTGGGTCTGAAAAGTGAAACCTGAGTTATTTCTGGTAGCTATCAGTGAAACTACCTCCGGTTGCCAAAAGGCTTCACGTCCTGTAGAAGAACCTCTGTAAATACTTTCCTGTTGATGAGTTTTGGGTCTCAGTCTCTACTTTCAGGTCAATAAAACCCTGAGTTCTTTTGATAAATTATGGTAATTGTACTTGTCAAAAAAGCTTATTATCCAGATATGCTCGCTGGGTAATGATTCACTCATTACATCTGGTTTCAGACACCAGGGTGGGAAAAATTTAATCTCAAGGGAGTCACAGCAGGGCTTTACAAACTGGTGGTTGCTGACATGCTATGTCAAACATGCTATGATGAATTCTGCCCCTGTGACATCACCGTTTGGTTAGTAAAGTTTCGATGATGCTTCAGTCAAAGTGTTTCCACGAATCTCTGCAGATAAAGAGCGCAAATGCAGCATGACTCATTGTAACAGAAGATTAACATGAACAGCAGTTCTCTTAAGAACTGGAATGATCAGCATTATAGGAAATATGAGTCATCAAAATGACCCATCCGCTGACCCCTACCTCCTCCCTAACATTACCATATATGGACATTGTTATTGTAATCTTGCTTATTAGTGACCCTAACCTTAAGAGTTCATAGAACAAACTGAGGGACCATCCTGTTATATTCAGTCAGATTAGTGACTGACAGCATAAACTCACCAAGAACATGTGCGCTGACGTCACCTTCGTCTGTCAGATTTCTGTGCATTTAAAGAAGAGGAGTCGCCCCCTGCTGAGCATAAGGAGGTTCATGTCCACATGCACAGTCATGGATTCATGGTTTTCCTTTCTTCTTGAATAAAATGGAGGAAAACTTAAATGAAATAACATTACTTTAAGTACATTAAAGGGGAACACTGTGGTGCATCATAATACTAATACTGTTGGTGAAAGTGAGACTACTTTGAACCTTTTTAAGCTGCTGGTCATTTTGTGACTGCAAAACTCTGACTTGGACTTCAAGCTTAAAGTTGATTAGCTTCTAAATGACATTTGTAACTAAAGGTTTTCTTCTTTAAAGTGTTGTAGGTTTCTTGTCTCAGAAGCTTTAAAAGAGAGTAAATTACAGCCAAAAAACATGAAAAAGGAGTCCAAAGGTTCATCAGCATCCTCCAGCTTTGGGCTGCCTGTTAGTTCTTTTTCTGAGTGATTTCTCGCAGTTTTATAAATTTAATCCCATGTTTGATTCTCAAATATGCAGAGCATCTTTTTATGGCAGAGATGAAAACACCGTTGCGATGAGTCACAGCTCCTCTGAACCATCACTGAAGGTTTCTTCCTCTCAGAGGAGCCGAGGGTGAGGTGCAAGTGTTAGATGCAAACCTCATTTGCAGTCACAGTTTGCTGCGTGATGTTTTTCAGAGTCTGTGCCAACACCCAGAGCTCCTCCAGCCTCGGCACAGCTCTGAGCCTCAGGTCTGATTTATGTTGATGGACTCACCTTGAATCACAATGTGTTGTCCTGCTGGAGATGCACTCTCTGCAGGTGCCAGCAGGAGACCCTAACCCGGGAAGAGTTATGGATTTCTTGTCAGTGGTTATTGCTTTTAGGTGGCCAGTGATCTGATTGGCTCAGTGAGGTGGCAGGTGAGGGTGAGTGGGTGGTGAGGGTGGTATTGCACCCTGAGGTGAAGAGCACCTGCCACCTTCTCTGATCTGTTATTTCCTCAGGGCAGCAGGCCAGTGACTCAGTGCACCACAGCCAAGAAACCAAATTCAAAGGATTTGAACACATTGATCCTGTTATTCCACAGCGGCGGAGCCAAATATTGGCCGAATGTGGACCTGTGGTTCACGTAAGCTTGCTAACTGATTACAAAAGCTGTAATTCTCTACAGCTCCAGCTTTTTATTAACACCAGTCATGATTTGTTAGAATCGAGTTTTTCATAGTGAGAGATGCAAACCACACATTCACATGTTAATAACTAACCTGACGATATGGATGGATCCTTTCAGCCATTCGATGATATTTACACTCAATTACACAAGAAAGCTCACAGAGTCGAGACCAGGAGATTCTACAAGCTAGCTACAAGCTACAAGCTTGCAGCATGAAATCACCCTGACATAATAATCTGCGATTAATTTGGACCCAGAAATAACTAAAGACTCTGAACAAGTGAAGAAGACAAAAGCTGTTGTTCTTGACTTTACCAGGCAGTCAGATAAGACCTAATGGCTCATGTGATACCGCTCTGCACACCTACACACATTATTTAGCCCATTAGCTTCCTAAAGCCACTTTGCAACCCACCACCAACCCAGGTGGTCCTTTTCCAGCTTAGTCAGTGTATTTGTTCTCATTACCTTCAACTGTAAATTAGTCCACCAGAAACATATTTTGTATATTGATGTTTTTATAAATCCCAAATCTTTCAGTTAATTTCTGGAAAACTTTCCATTTATAATAATGAAATATTAGTTGATATCTAGATATAAATATGTGGATATTTAAAGAAGACCAAACCCACAGTTGTACCAGTTATTGATTTATGTGGATAGTAATGAATTTGGGGACGTCACATGCCCCTTTATGTGGGAATAATGGTAACTTGACTATTTATTCGTCAGCCTCAAACTACAACTTGTGTTTGTATTCACAATATACAGTGAAGTGTAAAAGAGTTTAAAAGTGCTTAATTAGCTTTACTAACAAATGACTAATTTGTTCCGACACACCTGAATCAAATGAATGACTTGTTAACAGGCCTTTGCCAAACTTGATGGCTGCTGAAGAGGTAATCAGACCATTTGATTCAGCTGTGTTGGAGTAGGGATGCATCTAAAAGCTGCAGGACAGCAGCTCTCGAGGACTGGAGTTGGTGTCCATATATTAATGCTTATACCACATAAAATTATTATAACAGTTTGTCATTCATATTTTTTTTGCATCCGCAGACTGTTTTATGATTTTTATTTTTTGGTTGCAAATACAGAAAAAGCGGAGCAAGAGCAAAGATGGGAAACAATGAGGCTTTGGGGAGATGCTGATGGAAGGAGGGAGGGGGAGGGTAAGATGGAGACGAAGAGATTTCTGTCAATATTTCCTCAGGAATGATGGAGCATTAAAAATGGATGAGTGTGCGTGTGTGTGCGTGTGCGTGTACACATGTCTATGTGGAGACCAAGTGCATTTTGGTGCATTATGAGGACAACTTTGTAGAATGTGGGTTTTTTACATCCTCACTTTGGGTGTGATTTCAAATATCAACAGACAAAATAAGGACCTGACCTTAAAAGTCAGGCTGATGGCTTAGTGAACTGTATTGACCTTATAAAACAGAAAATTCAAAGTGTCTCCCATCTTAACTGGCTAAATCACCATGGTTACGGTGTAAATGTTTTTATACTTGATTCTAATCTGCTGCTGAGTTTATTCACACTGCTGAACCGTGCATCGAGAACACCTGATTTCATTTTGATCTGCTGACAAACTAAAGCATCGTCTGTATTAAACCGTGGAACAGTAACTGTTCATGGTTAAATGTATCCAGTTCTCATGCTACTGGCACAGTGTTGCATTTCACTGTTATACTTTTTGTGTCCACTCTATGTTCCTGAGTGGAGGAGGTGACACTCATAGGGATCATTTTGTGTGGAAGAGTCATGTATCCCAGGAAACACTGCCACATGTGACCACGCACAGAGCCTGAAGCACAAAGCCCAACTTAGAAGAGATCACTGATAATCACTGTTTCGTCAGTCGCTAAAGGCAAACGAAAGCTGTGCTGTTATTATTTATTCCCTGTGAAATAAAATCTTTCTTGGATTTTTTTTTTCATATATATGTGTACACTGTTCCACTTGTGGAGAATCATATCAAACATGGCCAAAGTATCAAATAATGAATTGACAGTATGAAAAAATAAGCCCTGTGAGAACAGCCCTGGGTTAACTTGTTCTCTGACCTCAGTAAAGACTTTGAAATGAGTTACATAGTTCATAATTAAGCTAATGAATAGACGGTGTTCTTGGTTTCTCACTAAACTATACCTCTGATCCTGACGTCTGGGTTCGAAAGGTTATGATTAAACATTGTCCTGGGAGTCCACCACAGCCTCGCTTCCACCAGTATCTACTCGACTCTACTCAGTTTGGTTTGTTTGTACCTCCTGTGCGCATGGGGTTGTTGTAGCAATGCGGCCAAAAGTCTCGTAACATCATTTGTATGCGACACATTTCCTTCGTTGCCAGGTTTCAAAAATGGCATTTTAATTTTTGTTAAGGAGTCAGTCTCATGACTCGTCGAGTGACGCCATTGGCTGGCCACTGGTGACACCACATTTTTGGATCCATTTTTAACGTGGGCTGAGCAAACAGGTTCTACCACCTTATAGGAAAAGTCTACAAACCGAGTCAAGCCGAGCTAAGTAGGTACCAGTGGATAAGGGCTATATGTATACCAGGGTCCCCACAATGATAGACGTACAAACCGGAGTGTATGCCCTGTTTAACATTCGCAGCAGATCCTCCTGCAGACGGCACGAAGACATGAAGCCTGTCAACAGGAAAATAACCACAACAACACAAGAACCCAAACCCTGCTGCTTCTTTGTTTATTGGCACCCACCACTGTTGGCCACACAAAGCACACACAGACCATCAGACTGACCCACCTCGACTCTAACAGAGCGAAACTCAGATGGCGAGTAAACATCCCCCGACATCTTTCACTTCCTTTAGTCTGTCCTGAAGAGTAAACACACAGACACACACACAGAGTCAATAAACAGATCACAAAAGACACGATGCAAGACAGCGAAGAGGAAGTCAAGCGGTCAGGCAGTGTCGGTTTCACCCGAGGAAATAGAAATGATCTCAAGCCGTCGCCTTGATGGAAATGCTGAAATCTTTGTTTTCCATCACGTTGGGAAAAAATAAACTGTTGGAGCTTATTTAGAGAGGATTTCTGAATGTAACCGACTCCATCCTTCTCTTTCTTCTGCAGCTGATAAAGAAAAACAGGGCAAGAAAGACGACGGCAGCCCTTTCAAAGGAAACGTCCTGGGTAAGGAAGCTCAACACGCCTCATGTTCCTTTTTTGCCAGGTTGCTGCACTCTGCAAGTTAACGGAAAATGTAGATTATTTTCACCTGATTTTTTCCCTATTATTTTGCCCCTGTGAGTCATACGAACACTGCTCTCTCCAGCTGTGTTGTAGAGGTTCAGACACAAAATAGCACAACACCCTCAAAGCTCCATGCAGCTTTCCAAACACTTGATTTTGTATTTATAGTCAATAAAAATGAAAAAGAAAAATAATGTACTGTAAACTGCTCTGACTGTGTGTGACTTCCAGCGTGGATCACAAAGCAAAAAATGATTTAGAGGAGAGGATAGTGTAGCAAGTTATCAGCTAACTAGGGCTGCCACGATTAGTCGACTAGTCACGATTACGTCGACTATCAAAATCGTCGACGACTGATTTAATAGTCGACGCGTCGTTTGAAGCTTTGTAAGATCCCAAAAGACGCAGGAATAAGTAGCAGGATTTAAGAGTGTAATAACGGACTGAAACAGAAGATGGCAGCACTGCATGTACAAGGATGCCAGCTG